CACTATAAATAACCAGAGTTCCATACCTCAGTTATCTTCGTCTTGAAGAATTCTCACAGCAAAAATGTCACTGGTTCAAGTTCTTACCAGGCCAGTCAACATTTTTTGTGTGGAGTTTACATGTTTTCCAAGTACAGGGATTTCCCTTGGTTCCCCATTTCCTCCACCGTCTAGCTCTAATCATCAGTATATTTCTCCATAGCAATCCCTAATTTGTCTTTAGCCGTAAACAGCAGGGTTGCTCTCAAGATCCATCTGAGCTTAAACTTCCCTCTCAACCTGCAAACGGGAGGGAGCCCCTGGGTCGAGGATCTTATGAGCTCAGGGCAATCTCCTGGGACAGCATGCCAAACATGCTTTATACTCAATTGTCAGCTAAGTGTGAACACTAGAAATAAGCTGTAATAAAACTCTACAAATAATAATAGTATTAATAATAACTGCAACAATAACAATAATAAACATAATAAAACATAACGATTCAGAAATTGCATGTTCAAGTTCAAGAGCTTAATTATTATTGTGTTAGGACTCCTATTAAGTCCTTGTAACGTGGAGTTTAAGTGTCCGGTGCATATGAAGAGAGAGTGTTTCTACAGGTGGTTTGTCAAGCCCACTCACCTGTGTGAAGCAGACTTAGAAATGCACAATGTATTCTTAGAGATATAGAGTGATTTCAAGAAAGTGTTTGGTGCAAACTGGTGCAGTTGTCTGTTAAAGTGTAATAGAACTGAAAAGGTGTGTTTTCTACTGGTGGTTTGTCAACCCCACTTACCTGTGTGAGGCACGCTCAGAATTTCATAATGTTTTAAGGTTTTTGCGTGGTTTGGTGGAGAGGAAAGATGGTCCTCGTTTTTTGAGAGCTGGGGTTATGGATAACATATCAGAGAGGAGTAAAATGATTGGAGTTGAGGGCTCTAACAGCTTGTGGAAAGAAACTGTTGAGTAGTCTAGCCAAGTGGGCTCTAATACTGCCAAAATTGTAACCCACAGTTTTGTATCTTATTTTGCAGCACAAATTTACAATGGTATTTGAAGGCACAATGCTGCTTGTAGCTGGATGCTATTGATGGGGCTTATAGGGTCCGATAACACTGAATGCATTATTTGAGGTGCCTTTTTAAGTTTCTATTGGCAGCAAAGCTGCTTATGTGCCCTGGATGCCTCACATTTTTACTCTTCTTGTTCTTTGTAGAAATTGTATGTTTTTGGCATGTTGCAGCCTCCACCATTCTGAGCTCAGTATATCAACATTTACGGCTGTTGACTAAAATAAAAATCTAAAATAGCTGGTCGTTCAGATAAAATAAAGAGAGAACATTATTTATGATGCATTTCTTGTTCTTCTGTAATTTTTGGGATCTACCAGGAGGGATGCAACGATGTGGATTTTTGGGCCGATATCAATAATAAATAACTTTTAAGATTTGGAGGCCGATAACCAATATATATATATATATATATATATATATATATATATATATATATATATATATATATATATATATATATATATATATTTATATATAGGTCGATAAATGTAATATTTCAAAATATTGTATTTTTATACAGTTTTATACAGTACTTTTTTATTTTAAAAATGAGCTGGTCTTATGAACTAAATAGCCTACTCAAACCAAAATAAGCAATAATTTAAAAATTGAAAGGTTATATAGATATATTCATGATTAACATTTACATAAACCAGCAAGCCAAAAATAACTGATTTCCTCCGCATGGCAAATTAACATGCAACTTGACTGTTGCATAAAAATAATAGGGTAGATAACAAAAAGGGATTTAATTAACAAGCAAGTTAAATAAATATAAACAAAATGAAAATAAGAGAGCTAAAAACTGAAACCAGCTCAAATGTTCTTAATTAAAATGTCTTACAGTAATATACATATATGCAAATATGTAATGTCCGAAAAAAAAAAGTTTTAAGAGGTGTTTTGACAGTTCAGAGCCACAGTATAGGCAGAAAGCTAAATACAGATAATATGTTTTACTTTAGAAAATGCGGCATAAATTCATGTAAAGGCTGTCTGATCAGATGTATGTGTGTGTGCGGTGGTAGCCATCACATGAGCACATTATAATCAATATGAATATTCCAATCAAACGGAACACAATCTTACATCAACGACACATGGCAAGCAATGCGTTGATAATAACAAATTATCATAAAGATTACAAACAACACAATGAGTTGTCTAGCACGTGTGCATCGCTGCTGTTGTTTACCCATGTAATATTTTTTCCTGAGGCGATTTAAACCAAAATACACAATAATACTCTTTCAAATCTAGAATGAGAAGGAATATGGTTACTTACTGCATTATTAACGCACAGCAACACCACATCAAGGAAGGATGGACTTTGAAGGAATAAACAGTGTGAGGAAAGCTCTGTTATAGTGCACTGGACAAGTCTGAACAAGTTAAAAAGATATCGACCTAATTTTGACATCGGACCAATAACGATAACATTAAAAATAGCATTTATCGGCCGATAACGATCTACCAGGAGAGATCACGATTAACAGGTTGGCGACCACTGCACTAGAGTCATTATTGTTTTCTGTTCTGCTTGAACATGATAGTTTTCATCTTGAGCAGCTCATTAGTTGTGCATCTGAAATGTTCTTCTCGTAGTCTTCTGTTTAAGAATGACCTCCCAAGAGGAAAAAGCAAAAAAATAAATAAATAAAATAGATGCAAGGGATGGTTTCTTAAAGTCGCTGGTGGGCATTTCAATATCCCGGCAGCTGTGACACATCTTTTGATGGATGGGGCTGTGGTGGCCCTCAAACACGGCTGTCTGACTTCCACCTGAAATTTTCATTGACATTTGCTGGAATCAAGGGCAGTGTAGTTAAGAGGGTGGAGAGGGACGTTATTAGATCCTGATGCGCTGAATGAGAAAAAGGATACTTAATAACGTAGGTTTATATCCCACAGCATTACCATGGCCTTTAGCATATGACAGAGCAATTTCGTGGATTCGGTATTGGCTTTGTGTTCTTGAAGGGCCTGTGCAGGGAGATCATGCTCTAGTGATGGATTGATTCTCAGTGATGCAGAACTGAACGAGGTGGAACACAATGCTGAAGTGGGTTGAATTATTTACAGACTCAATCATGCACCCGTAATGCTGCTTGCAGATGCTGATCTCTCTCTTTCTGGATATGAAGCGATTCACTTTGATGATACTGTTGTGCTGTAATACATTCGCCTTGGGTCCAAAATAGCCTTTTCATGGTTGTATAATATGACTTAATACTGGATGACTTACTACAACTGCTGATACTGAAGTGCACATTTGATGGACATTTTACTATACCATAATGTCATGGAATAAAAGCTATGGCAAAGCAATTTTTAGGCTAATGTAGTACGTACTATACAGTGTGCAGTTTTTGACAAAGTTTTGGTCTTTGAAAATGAAGTTTCACAAAGCGGGTTTTCCTATCAATGCCATAGAAAAGCGATTCTATGCGTTTTAGACTTAGAATAGCTCTGCATTGTCCACAAACATATTTAAAAGCACCCTATCCTTATTTGCATTTGTTATCAGTAAAATTATTTTATTCTATAGACAGTGCTTGTTTCTTAAGATGAAACATAACCTGCCCATCACTTTGTATTTTGTTAAAATATTTAAAATATTTTATATATAATAAAATGAAAATTGTTTTTGGCTTATTAGAGCCTCCACTATTCTGAGCTCAGCTGTTGCCGGCTTGCGGCTTATGGGGTGTGGAAAGTTATTAATATAGAGAGCTGTACAGTATGCCAACATTTACGCCAGTTGATCAAAATGAAATGAAATCTTGGATCGAGATAAATAAAGAGAGAAACATTAATTATGGACCCTGCTTTTTTTCTAAATAAAAAAATAAATAAATAAATTAAATTATTTCGTTTTATTTCATTTCATTTTAATTTAATTTAATTTAATTTAATTTAATTTAATTTAATTTAATTTAATTTAATTTAATTTAATTTAATTTAATTTAATTTAATTTAATTTAAAAGTTAAATTAAATTTAAATAAAATGAAATAAAACGAAATAAAAATAAAATAGAATAAAAATATTAACTAATATTAACAAACACAACTTTGAGGTTTAATAATGCATTAGTTAATGTTAAAATATAATTAATAAATGCTGCTGGAGATTATACATACTAAGTTAGTGTTAAAAATGCATTAACTAATGGAACATCATTCTGAAGTGTTACCAAAAATATATATTTTATATATATATAATTTTTATAGAGTTGTATTGTAGTTCTCTCATGAAAAGCTTGCTTATTGTTTGTTTGAACAATAGTGAAATTTATTACTAGAAACAGTGAAAGACTAGAAAAAAGATTTAAGAAATGGATAACAGGTCTGGGAATTAACCAAAGTTATTCTTATTATTTGTTGTTCAGCTCTGAGCACACTTCAATAGTTCACCTAAAAAAAAATATTTGCAGTTATTTACTAGTAAGTTTTTTTTTTTTTTTTTTTTTTTGTATCTTCAGCAGAGTATTGAAGATTTTTAGCTGAAGCTGTGGTCTTTGGTCATTCATAAAATGCAATTACAGAAAATCGCTTCCTATAATTTTTGAGTCAAAAGTCTAATAAATTCCTGTAACTTCTGACGATAAATTGATGATACACTGTAAACATACACACTGGTTTCCACCATATTTCTTCATGTTATCCCAACACAAATAGATTAATACAAATAGCATTCATTTTTTTTACAAATTTAAGTGGATTGAACATAAAACAATTAGGTGGTCCCCCAACAAATCTCAAGAATTGTGTTGTTTCAGCTCATTTTAAATTAGTAGTTTGAACAAGCAGAAGAAATCATTTTTGAGTGTAGGTATAGGTCTTTTTAAGTGAAACGTTTGGTCTGTGCGCGGAACTGAATTACCTTTAATAACTCTTGAGTGCTGTTATTTACATTTTAAACTATTTACTATTTATTTTCTCTACAGGATAATGACGTTCGAATCATCATCGGTCAGTTTGATGAGAATCTGGCTGCTAAAGTCTTCTGCTGTGTAAGTTAGCACAATCATATCCTTGTCAACTATGCATGTAGTGTACACATAAGCTGCATCACCACTTACAGTACTGTCAACCTCTTTTACATGCACTACAAACACATTTAACATTTAGCTGCGTCAGCATTGAACAGACTGCACAATCAATATACAGTAGTTGGCTTATCAGCTTTTTTTGTTGAAATAGATCAGCAGAGTCCCTGATCTCTCTCTCTCTCTCTCTATCTCTCTCTCCCTGTATGTGTGTGTGTGTGTGTGTTTGTGATCCAGGCCTACAACCTTAACATGTATGGCAGCAAGTACCAGTGGATCATCCCGGGATGGTACCAGGGGAACTGGTGGGAGCAGGCCAACTCTACAAACTGCACCACGAGGAAGCTGCTGACAGCCATGGAGGGCTACATCAGTGTGGACTTCGAGCCCCTCAGTGCCAAACAGATTAAGGGAATATCAGGAAGAGTGAGTGTCTGCAGTGCGTGGGGATCTCAGGGGCTATGAATGACATTTCTGATTTCTCACAGAAAAGAAGGGAAAATGATGCAGTGCAGTTTTAGCAACTACACATTTCTGTTTGAGCTTTTCTCAGTTTTCCCTGTTGAAATTAAACCAGTTTAGACCAGCACAATCAGGTTTATGTTGTTTGGTTTAATTGATTAATTGTTTTTTACAGAATTTTTGGCCTCATTTATGTAACGGAGTAAGTGCTGTGCAGGTAAACCTTACTCCTCTGACCGATATGAGGTGCTCTAGCGACAGATGCTAGAGACCATGGTCTTGAGCCTCCTTGTTAGAGCAACTGACTTTCATACAAAGAATTGCCAGTTCGATCCCAGCACATATTGGGTTTAGTGGTGTAGGACTGGCAAAGTTACATTGGTGCCGTGATCCGATTGGGAGTTAGGTTTAGGGGGGTGAGTGTAACAGAGGTAAGCTAGTGAAGTGCTGTGCAGGTAAAACCTCACTCCTCGGACCTCTAAAAGATGGTCTAGCGACAGACGCTATAGAGACCATGGTCTTTAGACTCCTTGTTTGAGCGACCGACTCCCAAGAGTCGCTGGTTTGATCCCAGCTCGGAGCGGGTTGTGTGGCATAGGATGAGCGGGGTTACATTTAAACTTGCGCTGAAAAAAATAGCTCAAATAGCTCATGAATAATGGGTTTTAATTTTATTTGTGCTTTTGAATATGGAACCTTGATCCCTGCTCCTACAACTTTTGATGTTGAAATTTTTTATTGTCATTTTAGTTGTTTGAAATGATGAACAGGGTTGTTACCACCAAAAAACTGGGTTGTTATTGTAATATTATTGTTTTATAAATTATCTCTGTTACATTTGTTACTGTGTATATTATTTTTTGACCCTGGACCACAAAACGGTTAATTACCAGTGATGGGTATAATGCCGATATAAATGAACCATGTTACTAACAGCGATACTTTTTTTCTCTAGCGAGTAATTAATTGAAATACTGTTTCTCCCGTTACAACGCAGTTACCGTTACTGACAATAAAATGCACGTTTCAATAATTGAGAACACTAAAGAGGATTTCATTTGAGCAGCGTCTCTCTCAGTCATAGGACCTCTCTTTCTCTGGGGTGGGTGTGAGTGTGTGTGTGTGTGTGTGTGTGTGTTCAGGGTTGGAGCAGGACAAATAACCAACCAGTGATAATGATTGGTGTGTCTGTGAATGTGGTGTAACTGAGAATGTGCTGATTGGATTAGATAGAGTACATTTCCATCATTTGCCAATAACAGGCAGAGTAGGGCAGGTGTTCACACATACACACAACAAGTTCAAAGGTAGCCTTTGCAAACTGGGAATATAAGCACTACTCTTCCCTCGTTGAGGTGAAAGGCAAGAATGTTCATGTATCGTGCAACTTATGCCCAGGAAAAAAAGTATCTCTGCGTTGGTGACAAGTAATTCTAATCTAATGAAGCTCCTAACGTTGTCATATTCTGCCACAAAATTAGTGGCTACGCAGGTGATGACTTGAGCTTTGCTTTCAATGGAGGCGACGAAGCCGCGACGTCAAAGCAAATAAAACAAAATTTTCTCCACCGAAACACTTATTACTCAGACAGGATTAAGCAAAATAATACTCATCAATTACTAATTGAAAATTAGGTTTTGATATATTTGCAGTAGGAAATGTACAAAATATCTTTATAGAATATGATCTTGTTACGAAGCGGACACTGGACAACAGACATACGGATCCACATGCATTTTCTTAAAGGAAAGGTCGTACAAAACAGGAGCATAAAGGTAATCCAATAAACAGTCAAAATACAAGTGAAAGGTCAGGCTAGGTGGTAAAGAATCAAAATGGTAACAAGGCAAGATTCAAAACACGCAAAATCAAACAAGACAAAATGCTTTGTAATGTTCAGGGGAGAAACGAGACTCAGCAATGTGAAAGTAAAGTGTATATATAGTCCATGTAATCAGTAAAAACAAGCTACAGCTTTGTCTGTTTCAGTGTCCAGATTAGTATCAGCTGTTGATGGGTGCAAAGAGTTTTGGGAGTTGTAGTTCATTAGGAAGTAATCTCCAGTGCAGGGCAAAACACCGCTGGTGATCACAACAGATATTGTAATACTTTTTTTGGCATAAAAGTAAAATCAACACGTTTGACCCATGCAATGTTTTTGACTAAAAGCAAAAATACACCCATGCAACATTTTTTTGTATCAATTGTATTGTTTAAATCTAAAATGTCACTTTGTTGAACTATAGAACAAAATCTCAACATTAAAAGTTGTTGGAGCAGAGATCAAGTTTCTACCATGGAATTTGAAAGTGCAAATAAATAGATAACAACTGTGAACTATGAGCTACACATTTGATAAAGAAAATATATTATTTACAGTGTGTAATCAAAACAATATCTACTATATTCATAACATATAGTAGATAATGGGGTCAAAAAGTCAACATCAGAGAACTAGTGCGAACAAAAGCCAACTTTATTGTCTACCAAAAAGCTAAGAAACAAAAATGGTAACTGATATAGAGTATGAAGAAATAAAAGGCAATAGTTTTGACATAATCTGAACACAAGTGGCGCTTTTAAACACTAATACCAGGTGAACACGATAATGTATCTCCACTGACTGCACATAAATCTTCTTTTTTCAAACATTGTTGCTTGTATTTTCAGACGCCGCAGGAGTATGAGAGGGAGTACAATCGAGAGCGAGATCAAAAGGGAGTCGAGACCAGCAAATTCCACGGCTTTGCATATGATGGCATCTGGGTGATCGCTAAAACACTCACGCGTGTCATGGAGCTCCTGAGACACAAGGAGAGGCACGACATGTACCACAACTTCACAGTGGACGACCGAGAGGTGGGAAAGATGGTCCTCGATGTGATGAATGAAACCAACTTCTTTGGAGTGACGGTATGTTAACTGATGATATTATAAAAGCTGCTGTGGTTTCTTTGGTCTCAGGATTCTAATGTAGTGATATTTTCCAAAGCTGAGAATTGCAAAGGCCATTCAGAGTCAAATGAAAGGTGCTTTCATTCCTGCAAACTGCTTTTGTTAAACTGTATCAAATGTGAATTTAATTTTAAGTAGTTTTAGTATTTTAAGTAGTTTTAAGTATTTTTAGTAGTTTGAAATTAAAAATTGTCTTTATGGTCATGTACATTATGGCACAAATATTGTTATGGTATGCTAGTAATTTTTTGCTATTTTACACATTTATTCAAGTGTAAAGTATGGTATTCCAACCAGGTAACAATTCTTTCTATTAACTTGTGGCTTATTACCTACCTATTTTTAGATTTTTGGCTGTTTACTAGTACTTATAAAGTAGATATTCTGCATAATCTAATTGTACATCCCTAATCTTAAACCTAATACTTACTATAAACCCAACTACTACATTCATAACTATTAACAAGCAGAAAATTAGAAGTTTTTTGAGGCAAAAGTCATAGTTTATTAACAGCGAGAATTGTACCTTAAAATAAATTGTGACAATTTAAGGCCGGCTCACATGGTGCGATTTTATTTATTTATTTATTTATTTTTTTTTTATATATATAATCTTGAATGATTGTAGCATGTCAGACTTCACGAACATGGCTCCTATGTCACACTTTAAGATCTCAGCTGTCATAAAGTCAGACGGAACGACAAGGAAAACGCCCCTGGTGTTTGACGTCATCCACATGTTACACTTTCACTATCTCGCGTTTTGAAATGATTCCTCACAGCAAACGTAAACAATCTGTAGCGAATTTTCGCATGGATTGCGTCATCAAATTCTAAGGTACTATTGGTTCTAGGATTAACACTCATCGCAGCTGTTGTCACACTGCAGGAAAGTGTCTGCAATCTTTTGACACTGCCAGAATTTCATCGGAGGAAAATCTGATCTCAACGGGCACTAAACGACTGTCAGTGAACGTGTCAAACCAATGATCAAAGATCACGAATTTTAGCCTAGGATTTCAGGAATCTTTTAGGATTTCCTAAATTTGTCTCAGATGACAAAATTGTGGCTGAAATCTCATAGTGTGAGCAGGGCTTTAGTGTAAAACCACTAAAAATGTCAATTAAAGTCACTATTAAAATGTAGAGTGTAATGTTTGTATTAAAAGTCAACAAAGCAGAGATCAAGAGAAAACACCGCTTGAATCATATTTTTTTTCTCACAGTGTTTTCCTACAGTGATTCACTTGCATTTTTATCAATGGAAGTGTTATAGTATCATAATTGAGCAATAAAGCAAAATACTGTACAGCACAAAGGAGTAAACAAGGTCTAAAGACCATGACCCTTCAAGATGACTAGTATGAACATGAAGGTTTTTGTCTATTTGTGAATCCACACCAATAGGACAGTTTTCAGGTTCATTAGTAATTTCAAATATGAAATGTAAACTTAAATCTTTCTCTGTAGCCTTGAAGAATATGATGTTTCTCCATTTAAAAAGACAAGTGCTGTACTTGCCAATTTTCAAAAGCTGAACTGTTACAAACAGCAAACTGCCTTTGGTAAACAAGTTATTTTATTGACATTTTAAATAGATAGACTATGTGTGTGTTTGTCATTTAAATTACTGTACAAAAACTTTAATGAGCTGCCAGCACTTTTTTGGTTTTCTAAATTTATTGCTGTTCATATTATATATTGCGCAAATTTTGTATATAACCACTCAAATGTGAATAAAAGGCACATTGTTATACTGTTACATTTCCAAACATCCGATGCTGTCAGCACAGAGACCATTGTCCCACAATTCAATTGAAGCAAAAAAACAAAAAAAAAAACAAAACAAAGCAAAACAAAACAAAACAAAACAAAACAAAACAAAACAAAACAAAAAACAAAATAAAACAAAATTTAAAAAAAATAAAAATGAAATGAATTTCAAAATTTTCACCCTAGACCACAAAACCAGTCATAAAAAGAAGAAACGAAACAAAACAAAATACAACGAAACCAGTCATAAAAAGAAAAAGCAAAACGAAATGAAACCAGTTATAAAAAGAAGCAACTAATTGAAATTGATTTGCTGCAGTAGAGAGTAAAGTCTAGTTGGGATATCACTTTAACATAGCATAATTTTTGTGACACTGTACAACAAATAATATTTATACATTACAGTGATAGTTGGGTTTAGGGTAAACGTAGAGGTAGGTGCTAATACAATACAAGTAATCTCTAATTTAATAAATAATATAAATACTTCTCATTAACTTCCGATTGCTTCTAGCAACTACAACGGCGCCCATTACCCGTCATATAACAAATAATATGATCATTATTGGGCTGTTTAAATCACTATATATATATATATATATATATATATATATATATATATATATATATATATATATATATATATATATATATATATCAATCAGAGTTTCAGAAATTTCACAATTTAATTAAAATATTTGTCTATATTTGCAGAAATGGCCAAATAGAAACGAAATACGATATTTACATAGATCATTGACTTGACGCGTCAAACTTGACAACATGGGAACTTTAGATCGCAACGGATTCTTAGTAACATTCACAAAAAACTCACTCAGGAGGGTCAGCTGGAATATTTAAAACTCAATCATGAAAGGGCTAAAATTAAGTTTTGATTTGTTTATAAAATTTACAAAATGTCTTCATGAAACCTAATCTTCACTTAATATTCGAATGATTTTGGCATAAAAAACCACAATAATTTTGACCTATACAATATATTTTTGAATATGGCAAAAATATACCTGCGTAAAATAAGACTGGTTTTGTAGTCCAGAGTCATATGAAAAAACAGAAAATCAACCGGAAATCACCTACGAAAACCTGTAAGTAAAAAATAAAAATAAAATAATAAATAAATAAATGTGGCATTTGCCTATTTTCATCAATCTAATCACAAGTGGAGAATGTCAAATACAGCCTGAACGATTTGACGTTTCCCCACTCGAAAGACAGGTGCTATACTTGCATTTTCTAAAGATGGAGAAATGTCAAGGCCATCCTGTGATCTCCAAGTCAAAAGAGAGGTGCTTTCATTGCTGTAAAGAGGCTGAGGGAGGGTAAGCGTTTATGCAACTTGGGATTGGAGGCTAGTAATGCTAAACATGCGATGTCGCTGACAAAATGAGAGCCAGATAAGAGGCGCTGAGATATTTGGTATGCAAAGAGTGTCCTGTCTGCAGACATCAGTGAATGTGTGTGTGTTTATGAGAACACACCGCTGCGGGCCGCCAAAAGAGAAAATCACAGAGCACAAAAAGAAGTCAAGTCAGCAAATCTAAAGGCACGCTCTGAAGCCCAGGCTAAAAAGTATCTCTGGAGTTTTGATATTGTCGTAAATGCTGTTGGTTTGGGAAATGAATAGGGGTTAATGGGCATTTGGGTTTTTTAGTACAGTATGTCCTCCAGCTCTCCGTCTTCAGCTTTTATCCAGCATTTATCTCTCATGTGTAGCAGAGTGCGTTTTATGTTTGTTCAGGCCAATAGCAAACAATGCATGTGCGACAAGACTTCAGTGTAGAAGCTTAATGGAGAGGAAGGAAAAACAAACAACGGGCATAAAACAGAAAATACCGCTGGAAGACGAATGGAGATATACAGTGGGAGCAGAAAGCAAACATTTAGACATCCTACAGTACCTGTCCACACTCAAAAAATAATGATTGCTGCTTGTTCAAACCACTAATGTAGAATGAGAGGGGTAATTTTATTAGATTTAATAGCTGGTGATTTCTGTTTTTAATTGTTCATTTTTACTGTTATGTTGAGAATATGTTTGTTGTCATTAACTTTTACTTTTTATGTGATTATTCATGTCAAAATAGTTAACTTTTATTCAGTTTATAAAATAGACATGCTAGTGTATTCCCCCACCTTGAAATAACTGACAATTAACAAAAGAAATAATTTTTGAAAATAGCTTTGCATTAAATATCTTATCACATTTATAAAATATTTGATCTCATATTTAACAAATTGAACTTAATTAAATTCCTTAGATTTTTTTTTTTTGTTACTCATTTTGTTCTGAATAATGTTTCATTTTAGTTTTTGAACAAAACAAATTTAAAAGTCCCACATTTAAAAAATAAATAAATAAATAAAAAAAAAAAAAAAAAAAAAATATATATATATATATATATATATATATATATATATATATATATATATATATATATATATATATATTTTTTTTTTTTTTTTTTTTATTTAACTTTTACTTTCAGTCCCTAATGCAGGGGTGTCCAAACTCAGTCCTGGAGGGCAGGTGTCCTACATATTTTAGCTCCAACTTTCCTTAACACACCTGCGAGGATGTTTTTAGAAAAAAACTGGTTAGAGCTTGATTATCTAGCCCAGGTGTGTCTGATTGGGGTTGGAACTAAACTTTGCAGGGCACCGGCCCTCTAGGACTGAATTTAAGCATCTTTGCCCTCTGTGTGTTAGATATGGGGAAGTAGCTAAATATATTAATTCATTCATTCATTCATTTTCTTTTTGGCTTAGTCCCTGTATTAATCCGGGGTCGCCACAGCAGAATGAACCTCTTAGCTAAATATATATTGCAAAAAAAGTCAAATAAATGTAAATTGTAAAAATGTGCAGCGAGACTTTTTTGTAGAAGCGTAATGGAGAGGAAGGAAAAACAAACAAGTTTTTTTTTTTTTTGGGACAACTTAATTGCTTTATGTTCAATCCATTTAAATTTGTAAAAGCAATTACGTTAACCTAAACCATTTGTGTTTGGGAATTGTGTGGAACCAGCATTAGGGAACACTACGGGGAAAAAAGATTTATTGGATTTATGATTTTTTTAAGGTAAGTGGTTGCAAACATTGTTTACTGTATGGGCTGAATTTAAGCAAAGAAATCAAATTTAGTTATGTTCAACTTAAATTGTTTAT